TGTTGTATGCTGGTGTTGCAAGAATATGTGTCTTGAATTATAGATGTTTCTCTTTCCTTGGGTGAATTGCCTAAAAAAAAATTTTTTAAGGATCTGAGGGATTTGCGGAAAGAGTTTTTTTTTTTGTTATATTTATAAATTATAAATAATATAAACTAAAATATTATATATAAAGATCATAATTATTAAAAAACTCTTTGCTAATCCTCTGATCATACACAAAAAAGATATTCACAAGAAGTTTTTTGTTTCTTTGCTAAAAAAGTCTTAAACACTTTCCTTAAAACTCCTTGAAAAGTGATTTCAAGAGTCACATTTATTCTTCCTTACTTGTTTACAATCCTCTTTGATCAAAAACCCGATTTCTGATGACCAAGAACAAATCAAGTAACACCTTTGATACCAATAGTAAGAAAGTTCTCAAAAAAAAAGAATCAATAATAAAATATATTAAGATCATCTCCATCTTTGAAGTGAAAGATATATAGAGGTTTTTGATGATAAAAGGATTTATTTTTCTCCTTTCAGTCCCTTGTGTGCCTTTTAGATCTATCACTTTTATGATTTTCTAAGGAATTTTGCTTATCTCAGTTTGATCCTAAATTTTGAATTATACAAATCCTTATCAAAAGTGATTGGCTGATATAAAACACATTAGTTTCAGAAAAAGTAAACAAACTTTTATTGATTACATTCATGTGTTCCTATCATATTATGAATAATATAAGAAAAAAAGTTTTAGAAGAAGTTTCTCTTCAACTATGTATATTCGATTTCAAAAAACAATTATAATATCAAAAGATAAGATAAATTTGTACAAAGAAATTCCATTTATTTTCTAAGTTCCTCAAATAGTGAAAAGTCTTTCTAAGGTAAAAGTTAAGATCTTTTAGTTTCTCTTGGACTATTCCAATTTGGTGTATACTTAAATGAAGACTTATCTAATATTGCAGATAGTAACAAAGAAAACTCCTTTCAAGATCCAAATAAACCAAAGAAGAATATCCCAATTAGGCAAGACTCCTTTTGAAAAGAGATTGTGAAATGAAGCAAGAATCTTTTGGAGGGCTTTAAATTATTTTTTGTTTTTCCTTTCTCTAGTTCCAACTACAGAAATTCATTATTTTTTAGAATAATCAATAATGACAAACTGTTGATAATAACTCTGATTAACTTAAAGGTATTATATCAAGCTACTAGAAAAATGTAATATTGTTTCTTAAATCTAACTTAAAGTACTTAGTTGAGACTTAGTTTTGTTTAATTTGAACTAGCTTAGTAGATATCTCATATTTTTTAAGTAGTATAATTCTTCAACTAATAATGTATAAAGATGAGTTAGTCATTACATAAAAAGATCTGCAGATTATTTTGATATTTTTTCAAGTATATTAATGAAGACAAACCATTTCAACATAATTTCAGATTAAAAAAAAAAAACTAAAACTAAAATATAATATATAATATATAATTTATATTATTATAATTTAATTAATTATAATAAATCTTTTTGCTAATCCTCTGACCATACACAAAAAAGATATTCGCAAGAAATTTTATACTTTCTTACTAATAAAGTCTTTATACTTTCATTAAAACAACTTGAAACTTGTCTTTATTTATCTTTTCTACTCACCCTACTTGTTTATAAACTCCTTTGAATAAAAACTTGAGCCTTTAGTGGCCTGAAAAGACTCAAATATACACTTCCTCTACTAAAGGCAAGAAAGTTCTAGAAAGTAAAAGGATTGATAAGTAAAGTATCACCTTATAGAGCTGGAAGTAACAAGAAATAGAGATTTTGTTGACAAGGGAAGGTTTATTTTCCACCTTCTCATATATTGTCTTATATTCTCTTAAAGTGTTTATTGTTTTTCACAGTTTTCTTGGGAAATTTTATCTATTTCAGTTTAACCCTGAATTTTTGATAGCACAACATTATCTGATATCTTATTAATTGATATGAAATACATTAATAACTGAATGTAAACTAACTTCTATTGATCACCTCACATGTTCTGATAATCTTATTGATAATTGAAAGAGAAATCAAGGATATAAACTTCTTCACTTCTCCAAATGAAATTTAACTGAAGCAAAAAAATCATGAGACCATCAGGATAGGTACTAAATTCCCTAGGTGATGAAAAGGTGGTTATTTATTCAAGCTGAGACCTTTAATTTCTTATTATTTCAATTAGGCAAAATACATGAAGGAGGTTATTTTCTTATTCTAGTCAGGCTATAAGATTGAAAAGTAGAGAGATGTAAAACACTATCCTTCTTTAGAATTGAAAATGCATTTTTTCAGATGTTATATAATAATATCATAATAAGATGAACACCAGTAAAATTTCTTTAACTAGATGTGACTACTGAAAGATATTGGAAGTTATTTAATAAGATTGAAAAGCTATATAAGAACCTGGGTTCACCATTAGTTGTCTTCTTCTATATAGATAGATACAAAATTAAAACTTAAAGAAAAAAAGTATTGAGCAAGACACTGGATCTGAGTAGATAATAATTACTTCAGATGATTACAAGAAAATAATCAAAAGTATGGATGGATAAGTTCTTCAAACAGTTAGAAATAAGAAAGATATTTCAGAAGGGTTGACTTTTAATAAGAAGAGATTTCTAGCAAAGATCTTTTGGAAGATATGGAACATTTTAATTTTCTTTTTTTCTTTTCATTTTTATATAGTGCATTTGCATATTTTCAGATATTTCCCTTTCTTTTTATTTTTTCTTTTCCCTTTTGTAGTTTCTTGAATTCAATTCCTTGGAAGATAATAAGTAGTGATAACCTGCTAGTAATAATAGATAAGTTAAGAAGGTATTTACCCAAAACTTAGTTCAAAGTGAAATATAGTCTTCAGGATTACACTTAGAGACTGAAGCTCTTTTGAGAATTGAAAGCCATTAACAAGTGTGTTAGTATAAATCTTTTAGTTTAGCTATGATACAATTGCCTTATATATCTCTATCAATTTTTATATTGATTTATAAATATACAGTACTGGTCTAATCATAGGTATAAAAAAAAAATAATAATAATTTAATTAATTATAAATAATATCAAATAATTTATAAATATTTGTAGATTCTCCAACCAACTAAAAATTATAAAATTTCTATATATTATATTTTAATACTAATTTTATTTTTTTATTTTTTTCAAAAATTATATATACAATATAAAATTTTTAAAGTTTTATTTTATTATTGCTAAAAATTTTCTTTATTTCAAATTTTTATTTTAATTTTGATTGGATATTATCATAAATCATAAATTATATGATAATTAGTAATAATAAAACTTTTTTAAAAAAAAATAAGAAATTAAATAATATACTAGATAAATTTTATTATTTTTGGTTGCATATTTAAAGATTTTATAATAAAAATATAGCAAGTGAACTTAAACTTTTGAAAGCAACCATATACAGTATATGCTTATCTTTAAGTATTTAAATTAATAATAATAATATTATTAAATAATATACTGTAACTATAATAAAAATAATTTCAATATTTAAGTGTGACAAGTTACTTAACGATAAATAATACGATTATATTTTTTTTTATTGCAACATTTATAAAATCTTATTATGTTTCATTACGAATGAATTTGACTTTGTTTCGGTACCGATTACATATAAACCTAAAATCTATTTAAGGTTTATCGGAGTTGCGGTCGATCTTAAATGCACCGACGTTTTGCGACCAAAATTAGCATGTCCTGCAGAATAAACTTCGAAGAATGTGCTTATTACATTGAAATGTTGGTAAATTCATCTATTTTTTTGATTAAAATTTTTTGGGATTAAATAAAAATGGGCCACAAGAATTCATTTCTTCTTATGGATACATAATACATAGTCAATTCAAAAAAATATTAGTTTTAAGACAACAATCAAATATATAAAAAAAGATTACAAAAATAAAAGTTCACCGTTATTATTACAAAAATGGTTTATAAAACCGCGAATTAAAAATTTGACAAAAATAAAAAAGGCTTAGAGAAGACTGTATATAAGCAAATTCGTGTATTTAGAAGTCCGAAAAAAAAAAAAAAAGATCAATTCTACTTGGGGTTTTTTGAAGCCAAGGCACAAACTATAAGTGTGGTGATGGCATATTTAGATATGTGGTAAGAATGAGACAGGATTATTTTATCCTAAATAAATTCAAATAATCCAAGTGTAAATCTATAGGTAAGCTTACATACCAACAAAGTTCGTGAACACAAATCCACGTAGTCCAAAAGAAAGGGAGAAAAAATTTCTTGTATCATTAAAGTAAATATAAACACTCCCTACAAATCAATGTAATTTTGTGACCCCAGAACTTGTGTTCCATTATCTAAAATGCTACATTATCAAACAAGAAAAAAAAAGAAAAGAAATATATTTATATGCATATTTCACTATTCCATTCGGAAATAAATGTTCATTGCCTCAAAGCATTATCGTCTGCTTAAGGTAGAGTACTGTAAAAGAAAAATAACACCAAAACTAACAGAACTACTGTCCCGTATCCTTCCCCAATAACCAACTTCCACTCGTCCGACAAGATGAAATTTCGCATTGAAGCAAGTTCGAATATACCATTAATTAAACACAATTAAAAGGACATATCTAGAACATAAGGGAACAGTAAAGGAAGAAAATAAAATAAAGATGGCATATATATACTAGACTATATATATATATATATATATATACCAAAAGAAGAAAGGGAGGCGGTCACATATTTTCCGACTTATGAAAATCTTGATGTTTATTCTCAATAAGCGAGAGAGGATAACTTGGTTATTGTTCTTAGCATAAAAAGAAACTTTTTTGAAGGGGGGTTTTTTTTTTTGATTTTTTTTTTTATTATTATTAATGGAAAATGAAAATGCTTCAATCCTTCTTGTCTAGTACCACGGACTTCCACCGGTTGGATCGTCCCTCTTGACTCCTCGGTATGAACCAGCAGCATAATTTACCGCTGGATTATTCTTGGTTTGGCTTCGAAGTCTAAAAATATAAAATTAAAAAACGAAAGCTCTAAATAATTTAATCGGACAGGTAGTCGCAAAACTTCTTCGCTTACAGTCTGTCTGAAGGAATGGTTCGAGTATTTTCTACAGCTGGAGAACTATTATCTTGTCCCTTGCGTCTCGGAACCTGTGTTAGCCGTGAAGAACTACTAGCAATTGGTTGTTGGGGTGACGATACGGGGGCACGCACAGAACCGATGGTGGGGCCACCTGGTTTACTTGCGGACCGGCGTGAGGATGAGGGATCGTTGATGAAGTTCCCAGAGGGATTGGCCTGTCGGGTTACGGCGACACGTTTCTGATTTTTGGGATCATCTTCATTTTGTTCAACGCCATTAGCATCATCCGGAGTCGGCAGTGGTGGATGTATTTTGTTCGCTTCCTTTTCCTAAACGTTTCATAAATAAATTGAGTTAGCGATTAAATTTTTGCCAAAGTGACATAAGAATATTTAAACAAATGAAGTTTCATACATATTTAAAAATTGTCCAATCGAAGACATAGTCATATTGATAACCTTCACGGACAAACAAATCCCTGAACAATTTTCTCAAATAACTATAATCCGGTTTGTCGTCAAAACGAAGAGACCGAGTATAATTTAAATAAATAGCAAATTCACTGGGAAAACTGCGACAAAGAAGTTCCGTCGGTGTGGTCATTTTCTTTTCCATGATGCGATCATATTTTTGCTTCTTTGTTGCGGCCTTAAGACCTTGCCATGGGAGCGAACCACGGCAGAAATACATCATTACATAACCTAATGACTCGAGGTCATCACGTCGAGATTGTTCTAGGCAGTATAGACGTAAATAATTACATACATTACTGGCATCATTTTTGTAAACGTGAAATTTAAGAAATTTTATGATACGTACCAACGCCCAAATGAGTATTGATGCTTGCATATCTCGCTGTGCCTGTCAAATTTTTATTTTCTCTGTATGGAATATGTAAGTGCGTCTTTGGATCACGGTACTTTTTGGCCAAACCGAAATCGATGACATTAACTTGATTTCCCCGTTTACCAATCCCCATCAAAAAGTTATCGGGCTTAATATCTCGATGAATAAAGTTTTTAGAATGGATATACTCAATTCTGGAAATCTTTGAATCAAAAAAATCAATTAAAACAGTATTTGATTAATTAAATATTAATGACAATTACATCAAGTAAATGGTTTTCATAATTCGAATGGAACTTTAATTAAAATTTGTAAATAATTGAAGCAAATATGCATACCAGTTGATCGGCCAATAACAGTACTGTTTTCAATGAAAATTTTCGATTACAGAAATTAAACAAATCCTCCAAGGACGGACCTAGCAAATCGATTACCATCGCGTTGTAATCGCATTCGGTGCCGTACCAGCGGACGAAAGGAATACCCACACCACCAGCCAATGTTCTATAAACTTTTGCCTCATACTCTAGTTGTGGGTGTTTTGCCTTTGTAGATTCAAGTTTAATAGCGACTTCTTCATTGTTAACAATATTTGTTCCTACGACACAAAGATATAAATTTAATATATATATTTCTTCGAAAAGCTCGGAAAGATAGTTGGTAGACGAAGCAATCCATTTAATATTCATTTCCTAAACACCTACCAAGATAAATATCTCCAAAAGACCCTGAGCCGATCTTTCTTCCTATTCGATATTTATTTCCTACTCTCAAGTCCATGGTCATTTTTTAGATATGTTCAAATTGTAGAGAGGGAATGAACTACGGATAAAAATATTTGACGATGGATAGAGAACCAACAGCAAATTAGATGCAGGCTTTTTATCTTAAATTTTTGTTATATCTGTAACATATTGTACATGACTCGTACTGCGGGCAGAGAATACATAGGTAGCCATTTTAACAGGCTTTACAAGTCCTACAAGCTATTTGACATTATTTATTAATTACCTGAAGATTATTTCTACAATTTAATCAATCCAAGCAATAAAATATGCAAGAGGATGAGACGCCAGCAAGATTGCAAAGTAAATAGCAAATGTGAATAGCGGAAGACGAAAGGCAGAGAGTCAACTGACTTGAGATGATAAACAAAGCAAGATTTACACTGAAGGTCGGTAGGTTTACGCTTTTGTTGTTACAGAAGAAACAACCTAATGTATAAAGTTATAACTTCAAAGGAAGGTCGGAGTGCTCTAAAGGGGGGTTATGGGCAGTATTAATTGTCACGGAAAATTTTGGGGGGTCAGAAATCCACAATTTGTACAAATGTGCTGATGTAATGATCTTTGTTGCCGAGTATACCCCCAAAAGTAATATCTTCTATTTTTATCCCGACGTTACTCATGTGTTAACTGGAGAAAAGGTTAACAAGATCCAGTGCGCCAATTCATTCATTCATGTGACTCATGAACAATTAGTTAACGAAGTAATATTTGTTGTTTCAATACTTATTCTATTGTTTTTTATTGTTCTTTTTAAGTTATTTTATAAGAAAAGCTTAATAAAAAATCTTTTAAAAAATATAAATATAACTCTTTCTAATTGTACTGTATATCAAAAAAATATTTTTAAGAATTATTTTTTCTTGTTTATAAAATTTTTTTAATCAAAAAATAATAAAAAAAAGTTGAATAATACTGTATCTTTATTATCAATAACAAGAAAGTCATTAAAGAAAAAAAAATTGATTTTTAAATATTTAAAAAAAATTTTTATTTTAAAAACAAGTTATTATAGCGATTTTTTATAATAAAAAGATCTATTTTTCTTTTTATCAGTTATTTTAATTTTTAAAAAACTATAAAAAAAATAAAAGTTTTAAGAAATTTTTTATTTATTTTAATTTAATATCAAAATTTTTAGATAATATAATTTTTATTTAAAATATTTGATTAATAGTAAATATATTAATTTTTTAAATATAAATATGTTATTATTAATTATAACTATATATTTTAATAAAATTATTGATAAAAAAAAAGTTTTAAAAAAGTTTATAGTAGTAATGTATAGGTAATAAAGTTAACAGTTAAAAGGATTTTACCTAAACTATTAATAAAATAATAAATTATTTCTGAAATTATACTTAAAGTTTTAAGAAATTTATAAAATAAAAATAAAAGAGCAAATAAAGACTTGGCTTTAGTGAAATATTTCAAATATAAAATATATAAATATTTAATAAAGTATACATAACTAACTTAACTAAAGATTATTAAAAAAAATAATTATAATATCAAAAAAATAAATAAAAATATATGATATAATATATTAATCTTTATTTTTTATTAACTTTTTTAAGTAATAAAAAAATTTTTAATAAAAAAATTTAAAATTTTCAAATTTTTATTTCAAAATTTTTTAATTATAATTTTTTATCAAATTAATTATATATATTTTATTAAATATATAATATTAAAACTAAATATACAATTAATTAAACTCTTTTCGCTAATCCACTTTTTTTCAAAAAATTTCCTTTTTTAGTAATTTTTAAAGAAAAAGAATAATACAATCCAAGCTCAACAAACACAATAAAGAGAAACACCACTATATTATTCCACTTGAAGCAACATATAAAGTTTTATAAACAAGCTGCCAGGAGAAGAATACATAATAACAATATTAATACTTTATTCATCAACTTTTGAGAGAAAGGAAAACAAAAATAAATCTGAATCACAGTAAAGCCAAGGGACCCAATATCAACTCTTCTAGTTTCCAACCAGGCCAATACAGATTTACACCTTTCTAGACATTAAAAGGAACCTAGCAATATAATAATTTTAACCGGTAAACCAGTCAAAACTCAAAAATTGTAAGACCCAAGAGAATATCAGGAACCCAAGAGCAACAGCTAAAGATTATCAGTAACAACACATCAGCAACACATAAACAACTGGTACATAACATGAACACGAACACGTCTCTTTAGACAATAAAGATATAACAATAGATTACGTGTCATATCTCTAGACAAATAAACAAGCTCAACACATGTCCTAGTTAATCACAAAATATGTTCCTCACATCTGGTTTACTCCTTAATAGATCCAGTACACGTGTTACTGAAATCAACAAATAAATAGATAAATAACTTGCAACTCGTGTTTACCCCACAATTGATTTACTAATACAATAGATAGATTAGAAAACCCTTAGTAATACTATCTAAATAAGTAATTAAATAAACAAAGTTAATCTGCAAAGCGTAACTCATCCAATAATCACGTGACATAGCCAACATGAATAGGGCACAACGTATTCTTCATATAGTAAATAATTGAAGCAAATATGCATACCAGTTGATCGGCCAATAACAGTACTGTTTTCAATGAAAATTTTCGATTAC